GACTGCCATCATTCTCAATATTAACCTCCCAAAAAGATTCCAATCTATAACCACAAATCTCAGCAACAACCTTAATCATACAATTTATAGGCAAGCCATGAATTTGCACCCAACATAGAGATAGGTTAAAGTTCAGATCCTCAGCATTGACTCCATCTCTCATTCTCTCAAAATGAGAAGATCACTCTTAAATTTGGTTTTGTAAAGCCATGGTACTCCTGATTCAGCTTAACGTAAATAAACAAATGAATTGAATTGAAACACCACATATTCTATCGATGGTTTGCAAAAAAAAGCCAGACCTTGTGTACCTCCTTTAAACTTCTTTTCTATGTCAATGCCAATAATAATGGAGGTTGTGAGAACTTTGGTCGCCAAACAAACAGGTTTATTGGGATCCGCATGATCATCCAAAGATAGCCTTAAAAGTTCATCCTAGTGAAGAAACAGACCCAAATAAAAGACAACAAACAGAAGTAGAATACCACCAATAAACTATAGAGATTGATCCTCAGAAGATATTACCATCAAAAATCTGAATTCATAATTGTAATCTTCAACAAAAAAAAAAATGAGAAAAAATAGTTATTTTTAAACAGAAAAGTTCAATGATTACGAAAAAAACAATGACATGAGAATTTTTGAAACAGTTGACTAAGGACAAGAGATGACAGAATTGAATGATATAGTGACTCCCATAGAAGAAAAACAAAATCTGCATAATTTATATATATATATATATATATATATATATATTTCGTAAAAAGACCAAAAGTAGAAAATAGAACCAAAAGGTTAATCTGAAACATGAGGGAGAATTCTAATTGGTTAAGGAAAAGAATTAACTAAAAATGCTACGTAGAAAGTAGTTAGGAATCAAAATTTGCAACAGGAACACCATGGGAGATTTACAAAAAGGAGGACTCATTTTCATTCAATAACTGTCACAGAGAAATTTCACATAATAAAAGGTTTAAAAAACTGAATATCATTTGTTCATAATTTAGCACATGTTGTGGTGGTGGAAGTTTCTCTGCTTCCCATTGTGTGTGTGGTGTGTTGAGTTCGAATCTTGATTACTAATTATATATTTGTTGAACTCTTATGGATGAAAATGGAAATATGTGTTCTCAGAATTGTAATACTTCACCACTGGCATTTCAAAAATTTTGGTCTCTAACCTAATTGGATATAACCGAAATCATCTTGTGCTATGATTGCTTGTATGGTTTCCATGATCACAATCCTTGAATAGGATGAGATTCCTTCTCATTTTGATTTGACTTCATCAACCTCAGTCTTCACGTTTGATAAATGAGTCTGTCGCATTTAACTCTCTACATCTAATACCTATTTTGATTCATTTAGTATTGAATCATGTGGAGATGTTGCTTTGGCAAGGTTGTTTCTTTTTTCTGAAGAATTTTTCTCCCTCAATTTTGGTGTTGACATTTTTTAACGTGGCCGTTAATTCTTCACCACCACATCATCTCTTGACATATGTAGTGTTGACCAGTTGACCACATATTATACTTCTCTTGACATCATAAAAAAATATCTTCGTCAAAATTTCATGCTTTTTCTGGATTTTAATTGAACAATTTTATCTTCCTCTAATAACTAAATTTTTTTCTTCGTTGACAACATTGATATTCTTCCACATTAACAGCTTGACCTTTCCAGTGAAAACTCCGATAAACATTGAGTTGGTTTGTCATCGTTTGGAGGACTTTGTTTGTTAGCAATAGTTTGAGTCAATCTAACTGAAACTAATTCAACTAGACGACTCTTTAATTAAAAGAATTCTCGAAAGGGAGTGATTGTGTTACTGTTGATTCATTATTTCTTTTGGCAAGTTTTACTTCAATCAGCTTCAGAGATGGAAAATATCCTAACCCCTAACAAAGCCTTCTTTTTGAAACATCTTGTTTGTTACTATGTTTGACACTCATCTTTGTGAATGCAAACATTGTTATATATATCAAAACACTAAAACCTGCAAGCGGACTTGGCCACTTAAATTTAGTATGTATAAATTAGTTACAATATGATTCACTAATGTTTCTAGTCGGTTTTATAATGTTCAAGTAACAGTTTGGCTGCCAAAAATAACTTGCCGATTTTGCACTCAATTTGCCGATTACACATCTTGGTATGACCATCTTCTGATTGAGGTTCAACATGGCACATTCCTCAACCTTCTTCTTTGAATGGGTTAACCATTACAAACTTCAACTTCTTTAGTTATCGCCGGAACAAAATTCTTCCAAATTCGACCATTAAATGTGTTCTTTTTTCTTTTCACTTCTTTTCTTTCTTTTTTTTTTCTTGCAATATGGAAAAAGTAAAGCTATACAAAATGTGAATTGACCTTTAATAATACTCCTTCTGGTTCTTATTATAAGGCATTTTGATTTGTCCTAAATTTCATTTAGTATCTTATTATAATTGAAAATAAAACATTGGAAATATATTTTCACATTGATTGTGTTCTTCTAATTATTATAAAATATTTTTAAGGTTTAATTTTTAATTAAAAAACATGATATAAACACAGGATAAATCAAAATGACTTATAATAAGGATCAGAAAGAGTATCGTTTTGAAATAAGCCTTGAAATTAAAATATGTACATAAATGTAATTATAGCCACTATATGGGGGAGGAAATGAATCCATTCAACTCGTTGGGACACAAAATCATGAATTAGGTCCATAATCAATTAACCGCGGGATATTGAAAAATAAAATATATTTATAAAGTTAGTCCAGAATTAATCATCAAAATGATTATTTTTCTTTTTCAATCATTTGTAGTTATCCGGTTCATGTATTTTAACAGACACAAAATGATTATATGAATTTAATGAATACGTTGAAATAAAAATCAATAGGTTAAGTTAATGGCAAATCAGTTATTTATATTACTTTTATTATTTATTAGTAAGTTGGTAGGCCAAAAAATGCTCAAAGGTATAAAAACAAATTTATCTGGGCCTGTTATCAACTAGAGAATAGATAAGAATAAAATAAAAAACCCCAGAAATTATAAATTAAGGAATATTGGATATTTTCTAGAAAAACAAAATCGAAAATAACCGGACAATAATCCCTTTTACCCTATTAAAGCAGAAGACATCAAGCTTATGTGGCAACTAAGTATGCATCTATTTTGGCTTCAATACACCATATTTCAGATTTCAGGAGTCTTTTTGCCACGTGTAAGTCTCTTTTAATTAGAAGTTATATAATTTTTTTAAAAAAAAAACACATGTTTTACTACGAATAAGGATCAGTTACATTTCAAACGAATGGATATATTAATTCAAATTCAAATGTCCAATCGTATAGTTTTGCAGGCTTAATATAAACAAAAAATAAAAATACCTAAATCCAACAATTAAGAATAATGCCTTATAAACTAATTATTTATTATTCCCTTATAACCTCATATTTATAGGTATATTTTTTTAAGCCCCAAATCATAGCATAAATGATATATACGCCAAATTAATTCCTCAAAAAATAGTAATTCAATTAGATTTTAATAAAATAGTAATTTAGAAGGGGCGCCCGGGCATCTGCCTGGGCCAAACATCTAGTTATATTTAATTACCGAATTATTGTCTATGATTAATCAATCACTTTAATTCAATACATTAACTGGCAACCAAGTTATCCACATTTTCAACCTATGCGACTTAACACAGTTTCTACTTATGAGATTAACACTTCATAGTTCTCTCTTCTCCTTCGTAGATTGTCATTGGCAGCTTAGGGGTAGATGGCGGGCGCCCAATATCAACAGACGCGTAGAGCCTCCTCCTCCTCCTCCTCCTAATCCGCCTGCTCAAGCATACCCTTCTTTTGGTGGTGGAGCGAGTAGCAGCTCACAACCTTTTGGAACTCCCTTTGGCTGATCTTCCAACAGTTCCGGCAGTTTCTCCTTTCATCGTTATCCATATCTGTGATAGTAATTGTATACTTCCAAAAGAGAGGAAATCCTAGTTGTTATTAGGTGGCATAGATCAACGGTCTCAGTAAAACTAGGATTGTAGTTCTCTTGTCCTTTCATCATTAGCAAAAGTCAACATTGTTAAAGGAAACAGTACTTGTGGCCGTTTAGTTTTACAGAAACAGTTGTACTTTTTCCAGTTGCTATCTTTTTATACTAATAACTTCCAAAATTTCCGTCAAATTTGGTCTCTATTCCAGCTTCGATTCCTTCTACTTTCAGGCATTTGCAGTGTTATTTTGCCGTATTGGCCTATCTCTATGTTTTCCTCAAGTGTTTGATCAAAATCAGTGGAAGAGATAATAAAACCAGTGGAAGAGAAATGCTCCTTCAGAAGGGCAGTTTAGCAAAAAAATCAAATGAATCTTCTTTTCCTCATAACACATCACAAAATTTAGGTGTGGAAATTGATCTAAACTCTAAAGGCTCATTGTAGCCAATGCGAGTAAACACTTCACATAATCGTGCAGACCTAAGATTACCCAAAATACCATAAAGTGTTCACAACATAAGGGCTGAGTAAGGTTAAACGGTTTGTGCTTTCTTTTTTCTGTTTTTTCTTTTTTTGGATGGAAAAGAATTTTTGGTAGAAAAATTCATTGAGAGAGCCATTTGAATTTTCAATATACTGTATGCTGTTTACAAGTTGAAACCAAAATCAAACCACCACCCAAAAACATACCCAAGAAGTCTGCTGAAAAGAGCCAGAACTGCTCCGGTGCAGGGTTGATATTGATATTTGCCTCTGGGACTTGAAGTACAAAGGGCAGTTATTGCACTATTGAGAAATGTTCCGATACATTTAAAACTGAATCAATGATTCTTACTTTTGGATCTCTTCAACAAGTATCGCAGCGAAAAGAAACCTAATGCGGTAGTTTGCCAAAACCACCCATTTGAGTTAGCAGGATCCACTCTTTTGGCAAGTTTCCATGCATATATACCTTCACCAACATGCGCAGCAACAGCTAGAACAAAAACTACCCTTAACTGGGTACAGAGCGAAAGAATAGAAGACCAAAAGATCTAACTAAGGGAACCGATCCAAAATCTGGAAGGAATGCAGCAGCAAATAATAAGAGCATTCCCACAACAGCGAATAGCCATGCATATATAGTTGGCCCATCCAAGCATCTCCTTTTCCTCTCTTGCCAGTATGAAATAGTTGCGGCCATGCCCTCACGAGGACTCACCAAAGGGATATAGCCGAGCTCTTCTTTAGCCTTTAGAAAAGAGAAGAAATGAGTTACACCTACCTGTAAAGAATGAAACATCAGCAGTAAGATATTGCCGGCAAAGGAAGAACCATATACTTCCTCCCTGAAAACAAAATTACCACAGAGGAACTTTTTATGCTGCCACAAGCAAATAACTAAGACAACTTGTTCTCATTGTAGTAATGCAATACTAAAATCTTAGTATAGTGATTCAAATTTGGGTATGGAGTCAATTATAAAGCATCTGGATGATCATGGAATTAATAGTCATCTTGCTAGACAGCTAACATATTACATTGGCTGTTGATGGAAAATATCTATCAGTGTCTAATGATCATTTCCTCAGATACAAGAAAAGTAAAAATGACGAAAAAAATTGAAAGGATATTGAAGTTGCATATCTGAAAAAGCATAGACATCTGAAATCTTTATAATATGTAAAGCATCATGTTATTAGATAAGTCATCCAGGACCTTGTATACTTCGGCTGCAAGCATCAGCAGTTGAGGAAGCCACTTCTGATTTAACCAAGGGTACATAATAGAGTACAATGCCCAAAAGAAATTTCCTAAAAGCAGGCCATGGGTTACTGATAAGGACCTCTTTGAGATCTCATAATCCAAAACTGTTGAGTAGCGAGACAGGAACTCAAAACTATTAACTGGATTACCTGTGAATGATACAACAATCAATTAAGAGGGACTGACAAGTTGTAAGTAAACAAACTAAGTTAACTTAAATGCACCAGAGATTAATTCAATTTATCTCCAAATTATCTAGTACTTTCAGAAAGCAAAAATCCTCCAAAGGAACATTTTTGAGCTAGTACACCCTTTATAAGAGGCGAAATATACCATCAGATATGAAGTAAGGTTGTCCAGCAGCAACAGGATGTCCTCTTCCTGGAATATCATCCAAAAGTCCCATGCTAGCTAATAGTAGAGCTAACACAAGATTGTCAACATAAACCCAGTCGGTTTTCACGCTAGCATCACCGATCCTGAATGGTAACAGACCCCACTTTGCCAGTGTCATGATTCTAGGCAGGTGTCTTTCTTCACCAGGTCCGTAAATTGCAGCCGGACGCAATGCACATGTGTACAGGCATTTTCCACTGTTATCCTTGTTCCTATATAAAGAAAAATATGTCATTCTTAGATATCTAACTGCAAAATATCAGAACACCGAACTAACAAGCCAAATGTTTCTTTTATGTACATATCTCGAACCCGAAAGAAATAGACTTGCCATGCTAGTGAGTATTAGTATAGTCTACTGCATGTAATATTGCATTCTCAGATGTTCAAGACAAACCTCAAAAAGAAAGTATTTTAAGTTTCATCCAATACATATCATCCGCTCAGAGAGGGAAAACATTATATTAATGGAGTAATAACAAAGAAAGCGACATTTATGTACAAGACATAAGAAATGGTAAAATATGTTTTCAGAATTACATACCTTAGGGGGCGGCCGTTGCTCTTCAGAACTAACTGCTCAGCAAAAGCTTTACTACGCCCATAGGGATCAACATGGCCATCCATGGGGAAGTAAGGCAGGGTTTCATTGCCATTAACAATTTCTTTCCGCCATACACGACATTGTATGTACTGACGTACACGAGTCTCCTGATACCATGGTCAAGGCAAGCATCCAAGACATGGCATGCTCCATTAATATTTACCTGATCCACTCGACCATACTGGAACATTTCTTTCCCAGACATGCCAAAGGAGGCAAGGTGGAAAACACAATCTGCCCCCTGTATGCTTTATCAACATCCTGTTTCGAGCCAACATCCCCTGAAGCCACAAAATTGATTTTTATCATCCAGATGAGAAGTCTTGCTTGCAATGCACAAAGCAATTTCACAAAGTTGACCATAAAACATCCACACACACACACACACACACACACAAACTACACCCAACAAATTGTATGACAAGGCTCCCAAATGACCTGACAGTCAGTATATTCAGTAAAGCAGTCTTCTTTCACACCATAACTAGTCTTCTTATACAGGATCATAATGACATTCAGGTAGCTATCTCATGGGGACAAGGAATGGTAGAAGAACCCTATCAGTAGGTTCTTCCATATTTATGCCCAGGATTATCATGATCCAAGGAAGAAGCCAAAGTAAGGACTTTGGTTTAGTTAATCCTTTATTAAGCAGTAATTTAATTAGTTTATTTTAGTATTAATATTTAGGAAAGGGTATTTTAGTATATTAGTTATGTTGCAGGATTTTCTTGGAATAAAAAAGAAATTAGGTGAGAATCCTAGTTGTCTTTGGTTTAGGTTAAGTTTTAGGCCTATAGATATGTACCTCGTTTGAGGGTTTTGGAGAGTTATCAGATTAATAAAATTCCTGCGAGCTTTTGCTTTCAACAACAGTTGTGTGACTCAACTAAACCCTTGGTGTGATGCCTAGGATTCCTGCGGTGTGACGCCAAAGGGCCCTAAGAGTGATTCTTAGGTTTTCTTCTCTTTTCCTACTGTTTTCCTGCAATTTCTACCCTTATTCCCTACAGTTTTCTATTGATTTTCCGCTGCATACCACTCTTTAATCAGCCTAAGTTTTGATTTCTTAACCACCACGTTTTTGTCCTGCGTCACTATCACTTAGATCCTTCTCTACCCAAACTCGGCCTGAATTCAGATAAACAACATAAAGTAACTAGGAGTATACTACCACAAACAGAGTATACCTATCCAGTCCACCAACCCCTATCAAAAAAGACACAGAGTGAGAATCACAGATAGAGAGAAACTCCGCCTGAGTGGGTTAATATCAGTTTTTTTACCATGAAGCGATTCTTTCCAATTAATGAACTAACATACTTCTGGTTTTTCGAGATAGCTGCCTTACAACAAAATCCCATTATATCTAAAACAGCAAACCAGGATAGAAAACACAACATTGACGAGATTTTAATTGACATCAGCTCTATCAGAAACCAATTTGATTTAAATGATTTAAAGCAAAAGCAAATATTTCTACTTCTTGAACTACTTCAATAAGAACGCCCATCAAAACCAAGACGCAAAAGAAAATAGAAGTTGGGCGAGTATTATAATAGACAGAAGCTCCATACAATTCAATTTCTTGTTCTTTTTGAATGTTTTCCATGGAAGAAAAATGATTTTGAGCCCTAAACAACCACACCAAGCAGAGCCCAACAAATCAATGGCGCCAAAATTTGCACTGAATAGTAAAAGACTCAAAATTGGCAATTAAAAAAAAAAAGGCATGTGACACATTCAAAATGGTAATCGCTATGCAATGGAATTGGGAAATTGAAGGAGGGAAGAATGGAAGCCACCTTGGATGCAGTGGAAAGCAGGATTAAGACGGAGCTTGTCGGACCAAGGAATTTGGGACTTGATATCGAAGACGGTGACTCTCCGGACACCTCTCCTGAGAAGCTCTCACTCAAATGCATTCTGTTTCCCCCTTTTCTTTACAGTTTGGGATCTGTAATTTTGCACAAAAAGAATTGAAAGAGATATTAAAAAAATAAAAAATTCTGGGCTCTTGTTGAAATTGTAATTCGAAACAGCCGGCGGACAGCAATTTGATCCGGTGGACTAACTGAGACTGCTGCAATGGAGGATGACGAAGACGGTGGTTGACTAATATTTGTTTAACGTTGGATGACTCGAATTATTGACGTTAAAATCTTTGACTCTCTAAATAAGGTAAAATCGTAAATGCTTATCAGATATATTTATTATGACCATATTGATTAATCATTTATCTTTATTTAATTCCTTACATTTTTTAGATTTTCTTTTTTTTTTTGGCAAGAAAAATAAATACTATCATTATCTGTTTCTAATCCTTTCTTATTTCAAGAGTTAATCAACAAAATTTAAATTGTCTCTCCAACATGTAAAATTTACTTGGAAAAAAAAACTAACATGGAATAAAATCGTTCTTCACACCCAACATGCAAAATTTTTAATTACTCGGTTTTTTCGAGTCCGTATCCAGTGCACCCGGGTGTACCGTATACCCCTTCACCAAACAAACGCGCACCACGCGCTCAACTGTTTTTACCTTTACATTAAATGTACACAGAAAGTTATTTTCATCAATTTCATCCTCACGCATAAACACACACAAACACACAGTCGACGGAAACTCTCCAATTTAGGGCAAACCCCCACACACACACAGACGACGGCGAGAAACCCTACGTCCGGCCATCTCAACCTCTCCTTCATCTATACATACTTCACTGGTAAGTATATTACTCCGGGATCCTTCTGTGTATCCACTAGATCTGAACTATTTATCCATGGTTTCCTGCGTATGCTATGTGATCGTTATCCATGCCATAATCTCCGGTTATCCATCTATATCATACTGACATTTGTTATCCGTCTATTTCATTCTGGTTATCCACAAGTTGTAGAGTGGTTATCCAGAAGTTGTAAAGTGGTTATCCACAAGTTCTAAACTGGTTATCCATACTTTTTTTACATTTTATTCTATGTGGCATGGTTTTGTGTTTTTTTTTTGTTACTTGTTTAGGGTTTAGGGTTTAGGGTTTCTGGTTATCCACCAATTTTAACTTGGTTATCCGCATGGTTTAAACTGGTTATCCACCCATTATTTGCTGGTTATCCACCCATTTCATAGTTGTTATCCATAAGTGGTAAATTGGTTATCCACAAGTTGTAAACTTGTTATCCATAGTATGTTTACATTTTATTCTATGTGGCATGGACAAACTGAACTGGTTATCCACTATATATCTGAAATGGTTATCCAAGTTTTCCTGCGTGTGTGGTATTGGGTGCTTGTCCAAAATCTTTTTCTGGTTATCCACCCATTTTAACTTGGTTATCCGCGGTGTGTAAACTTGTTGTCCATTGTTTTTTTTTATGTGTTTTTTATCTGGCTACATGTCCATACATTATTTGCTGGTTATCCACCCATTCCATACTGGTTACTCCTTTTTTGATTACTACTCCTTTCATATCTTGCTATTTTGTCCACTGACTTCTTACTGATTGTGCAATGCCAACAGTTCTCTAAAGGCGGCTAGAACAAAATATAGGCACAATTGGATCAGCGCAAGTCACGACCTCCAGTGCAACCCAGACAGATCACCGGATCCTGAACCAGAGAATATAATGGAGCTCCCTGAAGGAACACTGACCATATATAAAAAAACGAAAATCAACCCAAGAAGAACAAGAAGAACAGTCCCCTGTACAAACTCCAAGGACCCAAAACTTGTGGAGAAAACCAAAGAGGAAGAAGAGCACACCGACAGGAAATCCAAAGCAACTTGTGGTTGCTGATGAAAACGATGATAAAAAGCCCAAAAAGAAAAGAATGAAACCTGAGAACAACAAACTGATGATTGGTCAAGATCCACGGCCAATCAGTTCTGAAGATTACGTCAAGAAATTTGAGACAAGGATGACACCAAACCATCTTTTCCAACTCATCTCTGAAATCAATAAACCAACAGATCTTACAAAAGAGCCAGATGCGGTAGATTATCGCCAACTACAAAGGCAGGCTATCAGAGATATGGGATTTGGCGCCTTGCTGGATCTCAAAATCAAAAATATTCCAACAGCCTTGTGTAATTTTCTGGCAAGCAATTTCCAGACCGGTGCAAGACAAGTCCCATTGAATGGGAACAATGTACTGGATATCAAATAGGAAGATGTTGTTATTGTACTTGATCTTCCTCGTGGACCCAAACCAGTGGAAGAATTCAAATAGAATGATCCCGCTATAACGGACCACGCTGAGATGGTGGATGCGTTCAAGAAAAGAATGGGATACAGTAATAAATTCCTGCCAATGAGATCCACCGCGGCACAATTAATTGCTGGTCGAAAAGATTTTGGTGATGACTTCAAACGAGATTTCCTCGTCTTCGTTGTGAGCACATTCCTACATGGAAACACCACTTCCAGGATCACAATGAATATCCTGAAGTCCCTCGTAAACATCAATGAAGTGACACAATACAATTGGTGTCAATATGTGATTGATGCACTGATGAAAGGATGCAAAAGTCACCACGATGGGAAACCATTCACCGGACCAATCACTTTTTTCCTGGTACTTACCATATCCGTACAAATTTTACTAGTTATCCATATTGCTTGCAATGTTTATCCAATTTGCTTGTACTTGTCTGATGTGATTGTACTTGTCATCCAACTAATTTGTACTACTTGTCCAACCCTCTTTTTCCCCTTTAAATGGTTATCCATTGTGTTCCTCCCGGTTATCCAGCCTATTTCCCTCATTATCCACTTCATTTGAACTGGTTATCCAATCTGTCTAATTTGTACTGCTTGTACTGATATCATTAACACCAACTTTTTTTTTCTTTTTTTTTTTTTGTTAGTCGTGCTACCTTGACAGGTATGAGTATGAAAGAGCACATCCGAAGTCATTCCCTGTGATCAAATCTTGGGATCAAAAGATGCTGGACGACAGAATAAGACTTTAGGGAAGCAATTTCACAGATGTCCAGACACTTGAACGTCTCAAGAAACCGTCCTCAGCAGCATCCCGAGATGAACAACCAGAGGCTGAATCACAGAAGGAGGATACACAGGGAAACCCCAACACACAGCAAGTCTATGTACTGTTCTACCATTTTTTTTCAGATCAAACTTACGTATCCAACCTAGCATCTCCACATTCCACTAACTACATTCAATTTTGCAGGACCTTGCCGCTCTTCATGAAAAATTCTACCAATTAATTATCACGATGAGCAAAACTGTTTTAGACATTCGTGAGAAGGAAATGGAGTTAAGAATCAAACCAGATGAACAAGCACAGCAAACAATCAAGATCCTAACAGATGCAATGGTGTCGATGAGTAGAAAGATGCCTCCGCCTTCAGGTACAACGCAACTGGAACAAGAGCAACAGCAACACCAGCAAGACCTCCAGGATGCACAGATTTGTGAATTGTGCGAGATGGCATGGAAGTCCGTGAAAGCAGATTTGCAACAATCATAGAACAGCTGCAACGACAAGTAGCTGACCAACAAGAACAACAGCAACACCAACAAACTGATGACGACACTGTACAAGCTCTCAAGACATTGAAATTGACAAAGCACAGGGACTGGAGCAATTGAGCCAGACAAATGATGAGGCTTCTGTTGCAGTGGGAAAATCTGTGCCTACTTCAAAAGAAGTGGTGGTTGATGAACCACAAACTCAACTACAAGGGGCACAGGGACTGGATCAATTGAGCCAGACAAATGATGAGAATTCTCTTCCAGTGGGGAAATCCGTGCCTACTTCAAAAGAAGTGCTGGTTGATGAACAAAAAATTCAACCACAAGGTAATGAAACAAATACTTCTCTGATGTGATTGTACTTGTCATCCAACTAATTTGTACTGCTTATCCAACCCCTTTTTATCCCTTTAGATGGTTATCCATTGTGTTCCTGCTGATTATCCATCCTATTTGAACTGATTATCCAATTCATTTGAACTGGTTATCCAATCTGTCTAATTTGTACTGCTTATCCAACCCCTTTTTATCCCTTTAGATGGTTATGCATTGTGTTCTGCTGATTATCCATCCTATTTGAACTGATTATCCACTTCATTTAAACTGGTTATCCAATCTGTCTAATTTGTACTGCTTATCCAACCCCTTTTTATCCCTTTAGATGGTTATGGATTGTGTTCCTGCTGATTATCCATCCTATTTGAACTGATTATCCACTTTCTTTGAACTGGTTATCCAATGTGTCTAATATATATGTACCTTCGTACTGATTATCCAACATTCCAACTTTGTACTGCAGAACATGCAACGAATATCTCCACGACAGAAAAGAAGAGATCCCATCAAGATTCCACCGGCCGGGATTCAGCTGTGACATCCACCTATACCAAAAGGTCGAGAAGCACTGGTACCAGGAAAAGGAAAGCATTGAAAGACGCAACTATCCCAAGCTTTAACCTGGGTATCTTCTCCAGTCAGGAAGACAGTTACGAGACAACCCAGGAGAAGAACACTCAGGAAGATGTCACAGTAAGGGTTGATTTGGATAAAGATGTGAATGAGACTATAGAAGCAGAAGAATATCCAGTACCATCTGCTCTCGATGAAACAAAGAATCCCATTCCTTCCATCGATGAAATTATAACAAGGGCCAGTGCACCAGCTTCAGAATCGTCGAGTGATATAGAAAAACTAGAGATCATTGCGGCTGTTGCAGAATAAGTTGAGAAAAACCCAGAGGTGGTTGAAGCTGTCCCTTTAAGCATAATTCCACCCGATTGGAATGTTGCTTCCACCACGGGTCGTCTACTCATGCTGGACAAAAATGAGTGTACCACGCCACCGCCTGCAATCTCAAAGAAAGCTGAAGTACTTGATGAAGGGTTAACAAAGACAGTGGAAAAGTAAGTTTGATCCACTGTGAATGCTCACAACAAAATAAAAAGACGAATTTACATACTAACTCTCTTTTGTTTTATCCTAGGATCCTCAATCAAAAACCTAGGAGGAGAAATCCACCAAGAATCCACCGGTTGCCCGAACGGTTCAGGTCGCCGTTCATGCTGCAGAAGAAAAACAAGAAAAAATTCATACAGTTGACAGAGGAGAAGAAGAAAATGACCGAAGAAGAAGCCTTGTTGATAGACTTCGCTCTCTTGCAGAGACAAGAAGAAATAGTTAAATCAGGGTAAAAGCCGCCATCCTTACCCGTGCGATAAAAAACTTACCAGTTTTCCAACTATTTGTCTATTTGACTACTTTTTCTATGCATGAATTTCTTGTTTGAATTTGGAAAATTGTTTGGGCAGACAGGACAACATTCTATTCCATGAGGGAAGGCACATGGATAGAAAACAGTATCATAGATGCTTGGGCTGTCATCCTAAACAAAGAAGAAGCTAAAAGTGACTCCCCAAGTCGGATATTCTTTGGTGTTTCCGTATTTGTAAGTCAACTAAACCGTTATTGTTTATCCATTCCTGGTAAAATACTTGTCATATGTCTGCAAGTTGTTTATCCAAAGGCTTTCCACTAGTTATCCAGCCATAACGGGTGATTATCCACATTCTGTAAACTAGTTATCCAGCCATAATTGCTGGTTATCCACATTCTGTAAACTAGTTATCCATGCCTTTTTTTTAGTTGTGCTTCTATGCGGCTGCTTGTCCATACATTATTTTGCTGGTTATCCATCATTGTTGTATAACTGACCTACCTATAAGTAATCATCAGGAAGATCATGCATGACCACTAACACTTATTATCCAGTTTATTACTAATGCTTGTCCATCAGAGTTCAACTGGTTATCCATTCATTCTTGTTTGTCATCTAGGGTACTTTTGGTTGATCTTGGATGTGCTTGATTCCGATCATTGTTTTCTACTGCATTTTCCAACCATTGTACTGATCATTGTATCATTTTCCAACCACCCCAAACAATAACGCAGGATACAATCAGTCGATACAACCAACCTGGCAGTAACAAAGAAGAACTAGAGTTTACATTCTATGAAAGGTTGGCTCTTGAACTAGAAGAACAAGGACTCATTGTAGGATCCCTGATAGTGGCAAAAGCTGTAAGCAACATCTTTCACCTCCTTTACTCTTTCTATAACTGGTTGTTAAAAAATTTTCTTATTATTTCCCATTTCAATGTGAAAAATCAGATCTACTTCCCAGTACACTACCGAGAGCATTACTTCTTGTATGTGTTGCTGGTTCAAGAAAAGAAAGTGCTTGCATTCAACAATCTTCATGCAAAAGATCTGGACTACTACAAGCCAACAAAAGATCTACTTGTGAGTGAAAAAAAGATACAAAATGATTGTCATACTTTAAGAATTATCCATTGCATTTTGCTGATCCTTGGATTTTATGGCATCACAGTTTCGGTTCTTCCAAAGCTACGTTGCATGTGTGTTTCCACGCATAGAACTGGTCAGTGCTCAGTACACCTTCACAGAGGTTACGCTACCATCGCACAACGTCAAAAAGCCGAATGCCAAAGATTGTGGAATATTCACAATGCACCACATGGAGAAGTATGATGGTGGTGACTACGACGACGGTACAACTTTGGATTTCCACACAGGAAACATCAAAGAGTACCTGTGGAGATACATGTTAAAAATTCTTATGCACCCATCCAACAAAAATAAGAACAAAATCCTCGAAGCAATGCACCAGTTCTACACAAATACTGCTGAAGAAGAACCAAAAGAAATTCCAGATCATGTTGATTTGAGCAGCAAATCTTACTACAATGACAGAAAAATTCAGGGATGGGTTGAATGAACTGTCATTATCTTGTCTTGTATAATTGATTGACTGTTGTAGTCCAGATCATTTTGTAATGGTTATCCAGGATCTTTCTACTAGTTATCTAGCTTCAATATTTCTGTACTGATTATCCAATGCTCTGAATTGATTATCCAGAACTTTTGTACTGGTTATCCAGCCAATGTGCAGCAATATCCAACCGTTTGTAGTGGTTATCCATGATCATTGTACCAGTTATCCATCTTGTTAAACCTGATTATCCGAATGTTTTATAGTGATTATACAGTCAAAAAAATACAAGTACAGTCTTTAACCTGATTATACATGAGATTATACTTCTTATCCAAAAACTCAACACTGCTTATCCATATGTAACGAATGTTTTATAGTGATTATCCAGTCAAAAAAAATGCAAGTACATTCTTTAACCTGATTATCCATGAGATTATACTTGTTATCCAAAATCTCAATACTGCAATCCAAACGGCATATTCATTGGGGGGCTTCGCCCCCCATGATAAACTAAACGACTCCCGCGGCTACCGGAATCGCAGGTCACAAACCTGCCCCGGCTGCGCCGCCCGCCGAACACGCCAATGTAGCTAAGGTAATCATTTTTTCGTGTGTGTGTAAGGAGAGTGTGTTATTGCGTTAAGAGGGGACACAAATTAATTGTATAAATCTCCCCGTGATAAACTAAACGACCCGGCTGTGCCGGTGCCCCCGACTGCGCCGCCCACATGCCGAACAAGGCAAATTTCATAAACAGTGTTTAAAAAAATGAATGAGGGGAAGTTTGCCAAATGATGGAGAACAAAAAATGAATGAGGGACAGGCCGTCTGACTTAACTAGCGGGCCAAACCCGACCCAGGAACGCAACTCGCTTCAGAATCCCGCCCAAATTCTGGAAAACCTGCCCCATTAGTGTGCACGTTTTCCAAACGGCGGCCGGGCAATCAGAATAATTATCCCTTAGAATTCTTCGCCCGAAAACGTCATTCAATCATAATTGAGTGTGTTGGATAATGTACCATTCCTTCAACCATTCACCTGCTCTCTCCCTTTTTATGGGTATAAAATTCACTTTGTTTTTATTCTTTATGAAAAAATGCTGGTTATCCATAGTAAAATTCACTTTGTTTTTATTCTTTGCTCATTATCCAATGCTCTGAATTAATTATCCAGAACTTTTGTATTGGTTATCTAGGAATTTTGTACTGGTTATCCAGCCAGTTATGTAACTCATTTAAGGATAATCAATACTGGTTATCCACTATGTCCATACTGGTTATCCATAGTGTGGAACATGTTACTGTGTATAACTGAAAACCACACGTTCTGTAATTAAATAGAATTTAAAAGATTGAGGGCGTATAAATAAAAAAAGAAAACTGAAAATGCCCATGTTTGTGCAGAGTACATCCACCATGATCTAATGGGTAGTTACAGAGCCACACGTTTTTACATAACTGTCATTAAATGAGTTTCTTGATCTACACCTGGGGCTAAAACTCCTTCATCTGCACATACACCAGAACGCCTGATTTGAGCATCCAAAACATCCAACAGCCAGAAAAAAATGAAAAACAAAAAAATTTCCTCAAATTCCACCACCAAACAAATGTCCCCCAGCTATCATGAATATATCCATCACGATATGCTTAATAATATGTTCATTAATCTGTCATTGGAAAAGATTGGACAGTTCCGTCGTGTCAGCAAAGCTTGGGAGGAAATGATGAAAAGACAGGAATTTGTTCTTCAAAAACGTGAGATGAGCTACCCTGCAAGTGAAAACAACATCCTTGTTTTCACTCAAACAAGCTAAGAAGATCACCTGTTGCAAGACAAACTAATCGCCACCAACATAAAAGTGCAAATGGATAACCCATGCAACCACATACGATTTCAAGAAGAGATGTCGATGGGTGACGACGGCATCCATAAAATCATGCCTATCACCATAGATTTGATCTGTCTGCAAACCAGCTCTCAAATCAAATTCTTGAACCCAAAGACAACACAACTTGCAACAGTTGAATGGCCATATGATGTCCCTCTCAGCAATTGTGAAACATCATTTGGGTACGTATCATCCTCAAAAACTTACGTTTTCATGGCCCTTATTGCCGATGGAAAAAACATGCAAGGCTGTATTTTTTCTTTTCAAAGTTGTTCAAGTATTCATAGAGGGGAATGGAAAACACTTTGCAATGTATGTCCTCGCCTTGTATCTGATGGAACCTGGTTTGATATATTCGTGTACTGGCGTGTAGACAAACTATCCTCTGAAATAACCACTTGGATAATCAGTTCAAACAGGTTGGATAATCACCATGAACACAACGGATAACCAATTTAAAATAACCACTTGGATAACCAGTACAAACAAAATGGATAACCAGTTAAAACTGGTTGTATAATACTGCAATTTAAAATAAATAATACTTTTTAAATAAAAATCTTTACGCCATCAATACTGTTCATTTCAACATCAAGTTAAAATACTAATAAAACATCTTGTTGAAGAAACGCTGCGCTCCAGCCTCCCTAGCAGCTTCCCTTCGGTTAGGAAATGAGAACCCACCAAAGTTTTCATTCATGAATGTCATGTTTTCATGAGAAGGATTCACAGCAGTGGAAGTGCTTTCGCCTTGAAACTCCTGGCAAGCTCCATTGGGAATTGGAAATGAGAATCCACCGGAATTTTGGTTGATGAACGGCATGCTTTAATCAGAAGCATTCATAGAAGTGGAAGCCCCTGCCCATGAAAAATGCTGGGCAGCTACGCTTGGATTAGCAAATGAGAATCCACCGGAATTTACGTTCAAAGATGGCACGCTTTGATGGGAAGCATTCACAGCAGCAAAACTCCTGAGCCTGAGCCTGTAAAATCTTGAGCAGCTCCCTTTGGATAAGGAAATGGCATGCTTTGATAATGCAGGTCTGATGCAACTGAAGCTCTTGTTCGGTCTGCAGCAATTCTTGCATTTGTTTTCCTGCCTCTGACTTTGTTACATGCCTTCTCAACAATGCTTTTAGGACGTTCGTTCTTGGGACCAAACTTCTTCCTCTTTACAGCCGGATTCTTTATAACACCATCATTGTCTACAGAATCATCATTAATATTTGAACCAATGAAACTGCCGAGGACTTCTTTAAGCCTGCCAACAGCCTCGTCACAACATTTCTTTGCATCTTTGTTATATTCACTTGCATACACCAAGTCTGAAAATCGTCTCATAATTAGTGCCTTCCACAGCAATGGCCCAGCAGCTTTTCCATCTCCCTCATTAGCTATGCTTGACCTGGCACCATAACCTTTTGTCCATCTCATACATATCTAATCTTTAGGAAACTCATCAACAGAGGTTACGTGACAGATTCGAAGAATGTGGCAACAAAGCATGCCCGCCTCAGAGTAGTACCTGCACGTGCATGAGAATCTCTGTAACCTAGTGTCATGTACAACCACATTCTTAAAGTGCTCTATCCCAAACCGCCAAACATGGTACGTCACAATATTGCCATCATTTGAGACCTCTAACTGCTCCTGCCTGCACAACATCCCATCTTTGTGCAACTGCTGAACCTCCCGGAATGCTTCAACTGTGTACACTCTGCGAATGCTCTCCAGGAAAGGGTCACCGGGAAGATATGAATCGATGTTTCCCTGGCTACAACGTAGATCTTCACCCCTCACAGCTACCCGCCAACAGTGTACAACATCAGAGAAAATTCCATGGAAATCACAAAGCGATGATGTGGCCTTCATTTTACGACAAATTGCATTATTTGTTAACTCACTCCTCTGTGAAGACAAGGTACCACCAGAAAAAAAATCTTTGCTAAATGCAGGACACCACATATGCCTCACATCATAAATACCATTGAGCCATTTGTCATCATGACAATCATACTCATCCAATAATCTGTGCACAACAATATAAAACACATGCATAAAAAGAAAAATAGTTAGATTATCCATATAGTTATCCAGCCAAGAAAGCCTTTCTACTAGTTATCCAGCCATAAAGGGTGGTTATCCAGAGATAATTGCTAGTTATCCACAATGTGTAAACTAGTTATCCAGAATGGCTAAAAACTAGTTATCCAGTCATAGTTGCTGGTTATCCAGAATTTGTAAACTAGTCATCCGATCATTATGGGTGGTTATCCATAATCTGTAAACTAGTTATCCATGCCTTTTTTTAGTTGTGCTTCTATAACGTACCTACCACACAACGTACCTACCTATAAGTAATCATCACGAAGATCATGCATGACCACTAACAAACACATACCCACACAACAAAAAAAATAAGAGACACTCTTACTAATTGGAAATGATCAAAATAATAATAAAAATATTGTCAAACTGACCTCCTCCATAATACCTCGAACTCGATTTCTGTTGAAGTGTATTTTATCAGATAATTAAAGTTCTTAACAAAATCTGGCTTGTTCCTTAAATGACCAATTGCTTTCTTGAATTTTCACCTATGTGCCATACACAGAGACGATGCCGAGAACTTGGAAAACATGTTTGAATACTTGGAGCAATGGAAGGTGCTTGATCTGTCATTATGGTTTGTGGCTGTTTATCTCCCATTGATTTCAAAAACTGCTTGATCAACCAATCAAAAGAGGGTTCTTTCTCGTTTAACACAAAACCACAACCAAACATGACATTCTTGTTATGATTATCCATACCCACAAACGGAGCACAGATCATCCCATATCTGTTTGTTCGATACGTTGTATCAAACACAAGCAAGTCACCAAACAAATTATAATCCTTTCGCATTCTGCCATCCCTCCAGAAGAAAATACACAGCCTACCCTGCTCATCACACTCAAAATCAAAGAAGAAATCTTCTTCAGTTTCCTTCCTGTCGCAAAAAATCTTCATGAGCTGATTACAATCACCACCTTCAAATCCAACACCAGGATGCTCATAGTTGTAGGCATCTCTCAAAGTATATTTCATGTTCGGACTTCCCCCGTATAATTT